GGGTGCGCCACGGTCAAAGGGGCGCGGCGGCGCTGGTCGAGGCCGCCGGCCCGGAGGCGTGTCGCGACGGCGGCTTCTTGCTGGCGGTGCTGAGCCACCTTCGCTTCCAGGTGTTCCTCGCGTCGATGCAGGACAACACGCTGCACGCGTTTGCGGGGCGGGAGTGGCGCGAGGTGCCGTTTCGGGGGCATGGCAAGACGCTGTTTGACGAGCTGGTGGATGCGCTGTTTGCGGTGCAGGAATGCCTCTTTTTCGTGCAGCAGCGTGTCGACATGGGCCGAGACAGTGCGGGGGATGATCCGTTCGTGGAGAGCAGACCCTTGGTGGAGGATGCGGCAGAGCAGCTGTCCAGCTGGAACGAACGCTACATGCGGTTCCTGCGGCCAGCTTCATGGGATGGCAGTTCTCGTGGAGATGAGCTGATGCTGTTAGAGAAGCCGGGTGCGATGGGATCTGATGCCACCGTGGTTTCAACGCTTGGCCTACCTGAAGCAGCGCTCATGTCTTTGTTCCACGCAGGGCGGCTCATCATCGCTCAGCTCGCGTCTGTGGCAGATGCTGGCTTGCCCGACACGGCGGAGGAAGACTCCTGGGTTATTTTGCAAGCAAACAGATTCAGCACGCCGAGCAACTCGCCGCCGAGCAGCACGAGCAGCAAACTCCGACCATTCATGATGCTCCCAGGCCTCAAGATTGCCAGTCTCTGGAGTCCAGTGCCGGAGGTGCGCACGCAGGCTGCCGCCTTGCTTCTCAACGAGCAGATTTTGACGAGTCCAATGGCAGAGCTTGCACTGACGTCGGATGGTTATTTTTCCGAAATGGCAAGTTCAATTTTGAATCCTCGCACGGGCTTTCCTTTGATCAAATGAGTTTATTGCCGCTGTATCTATGCTAAGCAAAATGCATCCTGTGCATCATGTGCAACCTGTCTCTTGTGTCTCATGAAAGTATCCGAAAATATCCGAAAGTAAAAGCAAAGCAGCATCAAGGAATTTTTCTCGTACGAATTCTTTGTCAGGCCCAAGCCCTGCTCTTAGGCACTAAGACACCGGATAGTCTAATCATCCAGTTCGACGTTGGCGCGCCCAATCTCCTCACCATCGAGCAGGACTCGATAAACCAAGTGGCCGGCATCATCGTTGAGCTTGACATTGATCACCATATTGGCTCTGTAATGTGTTACGCCATTCTTCGTGATCCAATCGGCATCCGCAAGGTCTGCTTCAGTCAGCTCAAACATTACGCTGCCCACAATCTCAGCACCTGGATTAAATTAATAAATAATAAGATCAAGTGGTAATGAATGAAATTTGAAAATACTCACGATCAGACTCAATGTTGTCCGGGGCAGTATCCAAGTTGCATGAGTACAACGTCAAGGATTTATCAAATGGGGGGTATCCTGAGAGAGTCCAGAAACAGTCGAAGTTAATCTCTGTGTCTTTGTGAACTTTTTCGCCCTGTTTTACACCGGTAAGTAAAATATCGCCCGTCATCTCTATGTCCGGCAATGAACGCACCTTGCTGAACTGCCAGTCCATGAATCCGGTCAAATGTTGCGTACCATCAAACTTGTCAATGTAGGTAGAGCGCTTGCTTTTATCGTAGGGTTGATTCTTGTACGGCCTCCCGATTTCGATCCCGTAGTGTCTCCGACACTTTCTCTCGCGAACGATAGACCCTTCTAGCCCTCTGAGCACGGCGCCGCAAACAATCGCAGACCACCTAAATAACGTGTTACTTCAGCCAAGATTTGAAGTAGACTTCGAAATTATGACTTACGCTCCAGAAATAGGCGTAGAAAGGCGAATCCTATGTTCCTCGCTCCAGTCCTGAATCGACTCTCTTAGGTAGGGCGATGAGGCGAATCCGCCGACGAGAACGATGGTTGTGATGGGCGTCTCTCCTTTATCCTTGGTTCGGCATACTTGATCTTCAATCAGAACCAGTATCTTCTTCACGACGGGAGCGAAGATATCTTTCAAATCTTGGTGAGTAAGGAGGACGGAGGAGGAGCGCTTTTCGTAAAACTTTTCTGTCCTGGGAGAGCGCTTCAAAGCCGGCATGTAAAGCGATATTCGATGCGCTCTGTGGCTGACGTTGCTGTGACTGAAATCTTTCTTTTTCTGTTCAAATTGATCCATGAATGTGCTTCCAGGGCCAATCTGTTCAGGATCCAGGCTGGTAAAGGCTTCGCCGAATCGCTCAGCCATGAGCTTCAAGAAGTTTCTGTCAATGAATGTTGCGCCACATTTTCCGGCTATCCATATTTGTTAGACAAGACCGTTGAGTGTTGAGATTTTGAGGTGAACAAGCTCAGGAATTCCTTACCGATACCAACGGCAATTTCTCGAAGCTTCAGCAGAGGTTGCACCTCTTCGACTTCGTAGGTCGTGATGTCCTTCGAAATTAGCACTGATGGATTCTAGAATTTATTTTTCATTCGCGCAGAGCTTACCACAGTACCGCCACCACAGTCACAAACCATTACACCGGTGTCTTGCTACAGAGACTGTTAGAGCCTACCACAAGAATCCCTGACCAGACAAACGCACCTGAACAAAAGAGTCCAAACGATTGAAACTGGATTTCAGGGCATATTGAGCTGCCGCCTCAGGTTCCGAGATTAGCATGACTTGATCAATGTCCCGCTTTCCAAATCCGGCTTCCATGGCCGCCGCCTTGGTCAAGAGCTTTGCAGTTTCGCTCCAAGACGCAGGAACCGTAAGCCAAAGATCCACTGGGAGCTCATCGAGATTCATCGAACCGAAAAGCTCTTTCTTGGATTTTTCGAACATGTTGAACATTTGTCGAAGATACTCTGTGGCGACATACTTCGCGGATTTTCCCGGTGGGAGGCGCATCATGTCGTTGGTGCTGACATCATACACGTCGCAGTCAAAGTCTGACAAGAGAGCGGACTGGTCCAAGAGTAACTTCGTCAGGGAGCAGGATTTCATGCCAGGCTCGACCTGATATCCCCAAACATTGCTTCGAAGCTCGGGGTTCTCTTCAGGAAAGGCAATTCGTGTAGGGGCCTTCACGCTGTGCTCAGCACTGTGGGAAAAGGCACCAGGGTACTTGGTCCAAGGGATAATGTCCTTGAAGTCAGCAGCGTTGGAGAGAGCAAAGCTAATTCCTGCTTCTCCGTCAGAAGCGTGGTAAATGTGCAAATTCTGGGATTATTTACCGGAATACGTCGTGCCATAATCAAGGCCGACAATCAGCTTGATTCGGGAAGCTGCTGAAGCCATGGCAGTTCTCGGTGATGCTCTAAGACAAGAGGAAGAGCAAGGATGTAGATCGTGTAGTTTGTATGTTGAGTAGGAAAAGAACAGACGAGTGAAAAAAGAGAAGCGAGGAGAGAAGGGGCGCAAGCCATTTCATTTTGAGAAAACGTACGTCTCTCTAGAGTTTGGTTGGGGTGGGCGGCCGACAATCGGAGGAGCCCGTTTGCACCTCCCTTTCAGGTAAGAAAGTTTTGCAGAGAAAACTGCAGTGAATGTGGTTTTTTTCCTACTTGGTAGCCTATTTCGGAGAGAATTCAATAGCGAGAAATACCTTCAGCCGAAATGCAAGGCCAAGCGCAGATTCCTCCACATCTTCCGACACAGATTTGACAATGTCCTCCGCAGAAGATCCGAGCCATGACGACCGAATTGAAGCAGACAGCAATCAAGAGCCAGAAATTGAAGATGAAGGAGCTCCAAACACAGTCGCAGCTCGATTCATGGCTTTGCTCTCCGGCTGGCCGCTGGGAGCGTCAGCTCAGCCAGCTGAAGGCCCAAGGCCAGAAGTCGGCGTTCCTCAAGATATCCTCCGCGGAAATGGAGACGAGATCAAACAAGTGTTAAAGAGCATTGAAGAACTGCAACTCGAATGCAATGCATACCAACGACAAGTAGCCGGCGCGGAACAGTACATCGCCTGCCAAGAAAGACTTCATGCCGGGGAAGTAGAGTCTTTACAAGATAAAATCGCAAACTACAAGCAAAACAATAAGACTTCAACAAAGATTATCAAGAAACTGGAAGCAAGAGTTGCTGAAAATGAGGCGCAGCTCAGCAAGGCGTACTCTGGTGCCATGTCCGCCTGGGCAGAAGACGTGTCGCGCGACATGCCTGACGACGTGATCAAAAGCAAGATCAACTCTTTCTTCCAAGGCGACTTTTTCTCTTGGTGCGCCGACATGTGTGCTCCAGAAATTGAATGGAACAACGCCTACAAGCAAGTCCTTTATTACTATAACCTGGTCAACCAAGACTTGCTTTACTTGACTGGTCCCGCCTACTTGTTGTTTAACTACGACGCTCCGGATGGAAGTAGTTCTCTAGTTCTTCTCCAAGCAGCCTTGGCAAAAACACTGGTCAACACTTTTCTGACGAATCCGTATTTTCTTCTCGGCGATGTCCCTGTTTTACAGGAGATTGAAAGCGCCCTCGCTCAAAGTATGTTTGTTTGTTTTGCTGGTTCTTTCTTCCTATCCACGCAGACATTGTCTAACTTTTCCCAGAATCTCTCAAGGAAGCGACGAATTGGAGAGTCAATACCGTCCGAAGCTTGGAGAGAACGTTTCCGTTGGACCCTGAGCAAATTGAAGTTCATGTCAACTTATTCTTGAACACGTTTGGGTTTTTAATCGAAACCCCGGATTCATCTGCCAGGGAGGACTTGGCAAGCTTATTTGCTCACTTTTCGCAAATTGCATTGAAGCTGTGGCAGACACCCACATCGATCCGAGTCGTCGGTATGGAACACATGGACGATTGTCCATTCGTTAAAGGGAATCTTTATTGGGAATGCGAGCCTGCCGTGGCGTCGGCGCTTGGCGAACAGGTGAGCGGGCGCCCGATTGGTGTGGTTATCCGGCCATGCATCCTGTCGGATCCCATCCCAGAGCCCGGTGAACAAAGTACCCCGGTTGTTTGGTCCAAAGCCCTGGTATGGGTGTCTTCTGAGAAAGACCCGTACGATTTGGAGGACTAGGCTATTTGAATCCATGTATTACGCAGTCTTCACTGAGGAGGTCGACCTGCTTCGCATTGGGAGCTGGCGAGGAGAGATCTGATATGCGACGTGGACATATTGATACTAGCACCACGCAGGCTGCCGCCTTGCTTCTTAACGAACAGATTCTAACGAGTCTAATGGCAGAGCTTGTACTGACGTCGGATGGCTATTTTTCTAGGATGGCAGGTTATTTTAGGGAGGCAAAAGTCTCTGCATTTAGCAAAATAATTTAGCTTAAACGTTATGTACATTTGCTTGAGATAGGCCAAGATGACATCTTGGACCGACTTGCCCTCCGGAATGTACATCAGTTCCTCCTTTCTTTCGTCGTAAATGTCCGGGTTGTTAAACTCGGAATTACGCTGATTTATCGAGAAGCAGCTTGGTCAGAGCGCCAGTCTTCATACTAGGCTTGCCCCAAGCATCAGTCTCCAAGTCATTATTCTCGCTTAAATGCGATGCAGCTTAGTGCTTCGAGGTAGTGCTCCGTGCTATATAATACAGCACCTAGATATTTGGTCTAAGGGAAGATAGGGTGATGAAAAAGAGAGAAAACTAAACGAGAATTGTTATTATTTGCAAAAAGAAGAAAGCAAAACTGCAAAGCTGTGAGAGAAGAAAGACAGCTGGCAGGGTGCGTGGGAGAGATGAAAGCCATTGAAGCCAGCAGATTCACAGGTGGCGTGCTCCGTTGGCTCCGTTGGCTCCGTTTGCTCCGTTTGCTCCGTTTGCTCTGATCATAATTCACTCTACCTAGGTAGTTTGCGCTCGTCAAAAGCCTGCCGTCAACATCCCGTCAACAACATCTCGTCAACAACATCTCGTCAACAACATCTCGTCAACAACATCTCGTCAGAACACAACTCATGATCTGAGAGGTGCCGTTCTTCTTTTTCATTCCACACAACAACAATGTCTCTCCCTCGAAGTGATGAAGGCTTTAATAAGCCTGGCGAGACGCCGGGCACCAGGAAAAGACGATACGATGAGGTATGTAGTTTCCTCTGGGTTTCTGATTTTCGGCTCAGATTTTGGAAATTGACAATGAGTGTTCAAGGCTTCTAGAAGCAATCTTGAACAAGACAGCACGAGAGTGACCCCCGAATCGAGTCACAATTTGTTCTCTCAACAGGCTCAATCGTACGAGCGAAGCAACCAAGTCCATCGGAGTGGCATTGAACACAGAGCAAAGCCAATTAAAACGGAAGACACCAAGAATGGTTATTCTTACGGTGATAGACTCTCCTCTCGAGTCAGCCATCAATCCGCATCTTCGCGCGGCCTGGAAGTGAACAGAGCTGCAAGCAGGGCCACGACAGATCGAGATGGACATACAGACAGGGTACAGCAAAAACTGATCCGAGAAAAAGAACGAAGTTCCAAACTGGAACAGGAGTTGAGGCAAGAGGACCAGAGCGGTGCCGATGCAGAATTGCAGCATCAGAGGGAGCGTGAACGTTTGCTCACTAAGATGAATCACTTGCGCTATGAGCTTCGATCGAAGCAAACAGAGCTGGAGAAACAAAAGGAAAAGGTCAAACTGCTAAAGTTACAAGCTTTTGAGGACCGAGAAAAGCCGAATCAAGTGAACTCCAGAGCCGTGTCCATGATGGCCGAAGACGTGTCGAGAGACATGCCGGACGACACTGTCGCCAATCTCCTCAACACTTTCTTCCAGGGCGATTTTCTCTCCTGGTGCGCCGAAATGTGCGTCGACAAAATCGACGTGGACCAAGCATCAGCACTCCCGCTCAACTTCAGGGGTCTCAATAGGAGTGATGCGTACGAGGCCTTGCCGCCGCACTTGAAGTTTGACTTTACTTTGCCAGATGGAAGGAGCTCCTTTGTTCTCCTCCAGGCTGCCCTGTCTGAGAAGCTCGTTGAAGTATTTTTGGACAGTCCATACTTTCTCGAACCCACGGAAATTGCTTTTCCAGAAGTCGAACAGTACCTATACGATGGTACGTATATGGTTGCCCTCCAACAGTGCATTGTGCTAACATTATTGTCCTCCGTCACAGTGGATCGGAGAGGCAATCGAATGGAGAACCAAGCTGGTCAAGATTTTAGAGACTGTGGCACCCTTCCTGCTGGCAGACGCTACGCGCCTTGCCAGAGAGTTTGAGCAAGAGGCTCGGGTTCTCCTCAAGGATCCGGATGAGGAGTCACGCCGGGACCTTGCCGACTTGTTCGCCAAGTTTTCTGACATTGCTATCAAGCTTTGGAAGTCGCCAACCGAGATCCGGAGCCGAACAATGGTTGGATTTCAAAATTGCCCGTATCGAAAGAGCGACCCTTGGACAGAATGCGAGACAACGACGCTGGCTCAGCTCGGAGACCAAGTCAACGGCCGCCCCATCGGAGTCGTCATGCGACCCCTCATCACGTCGCAGGCCATCCAAAAACCCGGAGAAGATTACGATCCATATAGCTGTGCGGTGTGGTCCAAGGCCTTGGTTTGGGTGTCGAGCAAACCAGACCCGCACGATTGAGAGCAGAGTCATCGACGCTCGCCGCAAGGTCTATCGAGAACTGTTGGGAAGTGCTGTGAGACGCGGGCCGAACAAGATATTATGGTGCCGCAGTTGAGGTTCTCGAATATTTACGATCCGAAAAGATAGGAAGGACACTAAACTTTTGCTTAATAAATCGCTATTCTCTTGACTTCATTGCAGTGTCAGAGTCGTCCTAACAGGGCCGACACCACCAGAGAGGAGCTGCGATAAGTTGGCCTTCCAGTACCATGCACAAAGTCAAGACAAGCTTTCTGGAGCGAGTAAACTTCTCGTGAGGTAGTTGTATTAAACCGATAATATCCATGATCTAAAACGTAGTCATTCGGGCGCTTCCTGTTTCGTACTAAGGGGGGATGGTTCCTCGTCGACTGGCCTCGACTTTCCACTCCAACATCACAGCCAGGACGTGGTGAATGTTTTGACATGCAAGAGCGCCCCGACGGAAACACTCTCCTCCTTGTGAAAATGTGTCTTATTGATTGACTATAACAGACCGCAAGCCACGAGTAAAGCGGGACTGACACGGGCGACTCTTCACCGGGCGAGCGAAAACGTCGAGGTCCCAAACAGATCCTTCCTACCTAACCCCGTGTCGCTCACCAGCGTGCAGACTTGCTAGTTTCACCGCGTCCCTCGAGGTGCCTCTCATCCTGAACCTATTTCCCCCAGATACCCAGCAGCCTACCCCTCGCGTCGACGCGCTCGTCGCCGCCGTCCGGCTCGCTACTGTCTGCGGTCAGCAGCACCTCATCTGCCCCGCGTGCTTCTAGAGCAGCCCCCCATTCTCCGCGTTGACGAAAGCTTGGATTCCCTCATTTCCAATCTTGAGCGTTTCTACCATACTTACATTTGTTGGTTCTATTCTTCATTGGCAATTATACTGACGAATCTGGCACAGCATTGGCGAATCTCGACGTTGGCTCGGACGACGCCTTGCAGCGGGCTTGGCAGGCTCTACCTCCAGCACCATGATGACGATTGCGCACCAGGCAAGCACCCTGGCGTCGATGGAACGCATGCTCGTCATGGACGGCGGCAAGCTCGGCGAGGATAGCAAGCCGCAGGATTTTTTCTGTCATGGATGGGACGTCGTACTACCGAGCCGCCATTGAGAAGGATGGGCTCCAGGTTGCCGATGGGATACCTAATAATCGCAGCGCCATGTACGTGAAATGCAAATGTATTATATATCGACATCTCGAAGTCTTGCATAGACGGCCATAAAAAAATCACAACAGGGAGCATATGTAAGTCATTTCGCCTGTGCATCGTAAAGTGTTTGGACTATGCAGCTGGTGTACCAGCCCAATGTCCCGTTTCTTTGATCCGCTTGACCGCACGCTTCAAGTCCTCCATGTGCTGCTGGTGTTTGGTCTGGCGCATACTCAACGGCAGCAGCGGATACACCGTCGCCATGGCGTACGTGAAGGTGCCAAACAGGGCCCTGCTCGCGGCCGTCGGTTCCATGTCGTACTCCATGGCCAGGCGCGGCGGCAGCACGTTGGCCGTGACGAGGCGCGCGAGCGGCGAGAGGGCGGCGAGCGCAAACGGCAGGTTCTCCGGGTGCATGAGGTCGTGGCAGAGGCTGCGAGCCTCGGGCGTGATTTCGAGCGTGGCAATGTTGTGGTCCCAGTACGCCCAGAAGGCGTCGAGGCTGTCAGGCCACATCTCGGGCGGCATGCGCAGGCTGGTACCATACACGGCCGCCTGCCGGAGCAGCGCCTCCTCCTTTTCGCGGGGCAGCTTGCCAAAGATGAGCTCGTGGATGACGATCATGGACACGAAGAGCGTCGCGGCCGTCCACTTGTGCAGCTCCGGATCGTTGGCGTCGTAGCCCTCGCCGTGCACGGGGGCGTGGTACTTGTGGATGACGGAGAAGATGGTCTCCTTGTCCTCGGTGGTGCCGTAAACGGCCGCGTTGAGGAAGCGCAGCGTCGTCTGCAGCCGGTTCACTACGCGCGTCTTGAAGTTGGAGCGCTTGTAGCTACCGATGGCCAGGCCCGGATGCGCCCACTGGCAGAGGATGGCATACTGGGCTCCCAGCACGAAGATGTCATCAACGAGGATCTCGCGGAGTAGCGTCGGCTCCTCGATGGTGTCGTAGATGTGTGGTCTCTTGTATTTTGTTTGCGCAGCTGGCGTAGTCGATGCGCGGGCGCGCACGGTAGCATCGATAGTCATGGCTAAGGTAGAGGAAGCAAGGTTGGGCAAGACTCCTGGGTTAGGTGGCGTAGAGCATCGGTGCAAGTGGGGGAGAAGAATAGAAAACCCGGGGAAGTGGAAACTTTACTCTAATATAGTAATTTGTCCCCAGAGCCCATGCGTCGTACCACCATGTACTGCATTTTCGAGCTCGTGATTTGTTCGGTTATAGGAGGTCGCCGACTTCATCGTCAACGGCTTTCCGGGGTAACGACCGCCCCGCTTTTCACGGCGCCGGGCACCACAATTGACGCTTGAGGGGCGTTTTGCATGTGCTCGGACTGACAATCCTTAGCAACTGATCCTAGTTATTTCTTCACATTTTCCGACACTTCGGAGTGCGGGCTAAACGAGTAACCCGTTACTTACCCTAGCTTATCCATACAGCCGAATGAAGGGTGTTGCTTCTCGAAGGACTGACTGTACCGCCTTGAATGAACATTTTCACGTCCGCCTGTCGACTAGCCTGGAGAGAAGATCGTTATCGATCACTCTTCTCAATCGGCGGATGATGGTCGTGAAACCCCGCCCCGCCTCCTCGAACGAACTCATGAGCCATACTTCAATACAGCTTGGCCAGGTCGATCGAGTATATGCCGTCAAGGGTATCGTTATGTCGCTGTTTACTACATAAGGAACTGTGTCTTTGGAAGATAATTATGTGCCATGTCACATGGAAAAAAAGTAGAAAATCTCACTGTTCTCCTTGTTCTTAAAGTCGTAGGTTTAGCCCAACTCTGCTGGGTTCTTGGATTTTCCAATGGGAATAGCGTTTGACTGCGGAAGTTCGAGTGCTTGGCTATTCTGTCCAATGTGATGGTATTTCATTGTACCTGAGCCTGGAATGCCAGCGCTCGTCGAACTTAGAGCGCCGAGAGAGGAGGTCAGCCCGGGAGAAGATTGGCCCCAGCTCTGGCCTGAAAAGTATGGATTGTATGGACTCTGTGGAGGCTGCGGGTATGGCCGAGATTTGTCGTGGTAGTGCTGATACGCCGTGTACGGGTCGTATGCGGGCGACTCTCTCTGCGAATGGTATCGGAATGGTGAACTCTGCGGGTTGTAACTGAATGGTGAGCCTTGGCCAGGAGATGGACTCTGCTGGTCCTGGTGAAGCATGGGTTGGGCAGCAGCAAGTGCACTGGGACTTTTATCGCCAAATCTCTTCTTGCGGTTACGCATGAAGAGGAAAATGGCCGCTCCAAAGATGGCAATACCACCGACGCCTCCGACAACTCCGCCGACAATGGTTCCGGTACTACTCTTCCTCTCGCCAGTGTCGTTGCTTGTGCTATTTCCTAGTGTAGGGGTTGACGTAGCTGCCAAAGAAGCCGTTGTCTCGGAGGGTGCACTTTCGGAGGTTGTTGGCAACAAGGGATTCGTCGCATAAATCGTTTGACCAGTCAAGGCCGCCGCACAGCCCCAAAGTCCAAGTGACGTCGAAGATATCAACAGAGTGTGAAGCACACAATTGGGCACTATTTCTTGGAAACTGGTGGGAATGTGAACATTGTGCTAGGTTATGGTGTCCAGCTGTGTCAGGACTTACCAACATGCCATCTGGGGTTCGGTCTTTCGATTGTCCGAGCTGCAGCTTCCTTTAATATAATCCGAGTAAGGGTAGCAACCTGTGAACATGGAGCTGCAAGTGGTGCCCTGCGAGCAGCAGGCGGCAAACCGAGATCCATAAACGCACGTAGCAGTGGATGTATAGCATAGTAAGGGATATCCTGTATAGTTTTAGTCTCGTTCTTGAGGGGTTTCATGAGGGGCGCAATGCACCATCCGAATAAAATCCACAGGTATTTGGACTTCTATCCAAGGCATCGGCGCGACCGACCAGACCACGTGGGTCTGGAATAGGAGAGTCTGTGACTCTCGGGGAAACACCGAGCAAATGATTTGAAGCAACGGCTGCATATGTTGGTTCGATATCGTTGGGGCCTTTGGGCACGTAGGATGCTGCAATAGGTCGCACTGCGACGAGCACAGAGCTCAGCCCAGCCCAGCGCGACCACATCGTATGGACGCTGTGAGGTGTCGATCCGGGTAGATGGTGCCAGTGACCAAGTCGTCAACAGACAGTGAGACTTGATCAGCTGCCGCTTCGGCCGTCGGCAACTCTTGCGGCTACTCTGCGCTTACTTCGAATGGCTGCACATGAAAACAGTCGAGACGTGAAAGAGACTGCAGATGAGGCCAATTGTGCGGGAAGTGCATGGGAACATTACTAGGAGGGACAGGTCGTGTCTCTGACCCTGTCGCACTGTACACATGCTGGTAGCCTAATAACAAGAGGCAGAGTACGTTGAATCAGGCTGTGAGTCTAGGATGGATGGTCCAATCAAGTCAGACCCAACAAGCCGCCTGCTGTGGCATATTTTCTTCCGCATCTCAATCAGTGATTCTCCTCCCTACTTACTTCACAGTTTCATTTGACATATTTCTTCTTTTATGGTCTCGGCTCGCTCGTGCCAAAGTTTCTGCTAATACGGGTTTTCTGTCACCCACAAACGAGTCTTAGTTACTGAGCCGCATCTGTGGGCGGTGAAAGACTGTGAGATTAGTAACAAGGTGCACTGAATGAAATGGTTCCACAAGGCGCTGCAAGTCGTGAACCATATTACATTCAAGCTGGTGATATTGTCCGTCCGTTCGGTGTCGTTTTCGATCCTGTTTTGTTTTCTCAAGTTAGAACCATCCACGAGTGTATGTGCGCACCAACGTCACCTACTCATAGGTGACGTTGTCCAGTCTTCCCATACGGTGCTCCCGCATCAGCCTGATTCCAGGTGGAAAATGGAATTCCACGCGCTCATATGTAATCGCGTGCGCATCTGGCTAAAGGTCGTCCCCGTCTTGGATCAGGAAGTGGAATGTTATTGGACTACTTACGACGCTTTTTCAGTGCCTGGCCGGCTCCGACAATTGGCAATAGGGGGAACCTTAGGCTTGGGGGCGTCATGCTTGTCTCACAAGTATTTTTAGCACTGCGTCGCGCCGGGAGGGCGGGCGTCAATCGATGGCGATTTGTGCGATTTGTGCAAAGACGAGCTCGTCACACTGTCGATGTGGGTAGGCACACGATGAGCTTTGGTGGCGACAAGGCGGCATTAGTGTCAAGTCAGCCCCAACATTGATAAATGCAATAAATCAACATATGTCTTGGGAGACACAGCTTTTCCGTTACACTACCCAGGTTACTTGCAGCCTGTCAGCAGTTCTGGGGCTGTGTACTCGGTCGTGCAGGTCGAAAGCCAAGCGGCCAAGCCGCCAGGATAGGTTGAGTTGATGAAGAAGACATTCATTGCCGGCGGTCGAGGCAAAACCAATTCTCTTGGGAGAAGACGAACGTTTGGAAGCCATTGATAGCAATATTGAGACCTGCATGCTGGCTAATGTTGCATGAAGTAAGTGAGCTGCCCGTTTAGTAGACAATGCGAGGCAGAGCATGAGGTCCGGTGAGTTGACTGCAGCGCCGAGACGTGAATGAATTTGCCGCAACCCAATATCGGCGTTCTCACTACCCAATGCGTCGACACTGTGAGGTTACAGCGCATCAGCTCGGTAGGTCGGCTTGCAGCGGCGTGGCAGGATGGATCTGGGCTATTGCAGCTATTGCAATCTAGGTCCCTATCGATGCAGATGGAAGCCTGGTCCGCTGCAGGGGTCGGATGAGTCGGCGCGGAATTGAGTGAGTTTTGAAAGATTTCAATTTATTGTTTCTTCAGCTGAAGAGTAGTGCGGAATGGAATTGGCAACAAAAGGCGATGACAAGCGTGGGTTGATGCAGATGTAGCAAACGGGTGGAGGAGGTGGCGAAGCTTCTAGGTCGTGGGCGACCGACCAGCCGATGCTTGCAGCTAACGGCAAGTCTGCACTTAATATATCAAGGTGTGACAAGAGAGATGCTGCAATGCCTAAAGATTGACGTGATATCTTTCTTCCATTTTTCTTGGGACTCCCAATTACTCGTCGAACCCTTTTAATGTACGAATACGGCAGTTGCCTGAGGGTTTGCTCAGAAAGACCAGAGGCCCACTGCAACGTCCGTCCTCTCAGCCAACTCCGTTACATTGTCAGCCAAGCAACGACACATCAATACCATCTCCCCTTCAGCCGTCATGCACTTCATTTCCTCCATCATCTTGGCTGGCTCATATTCGTAAGCTCAGCCCGCCCGTTCTCACGCGGCCCGACTCCGGATTGGGCCTTGGCATCAGTTCCCGGGCGAGACCCTGGTCGCCCCCAACCATCATCCCTCCGGTATGCATCAGACGACAGAGCTTTGCATCCGTGCCCTCCCTCTCGTATGGAGGCACCTGAATGCCAATCCGGCAAGAAGTCGTACATATGGGCTTCTTTTGTACTGCAGCACCGGCCACGAGCAGCTGGCTACGTCTCGCCGCGCTTTGTGATTGATTTGCATGCACACCAGCTGTCACCTTCCCTATTCGCTTTGCAGCTCTTCTTCTCGCAGCTTTTGCCCGTCTATATAAAGACTTGGCTTTCTCTCGCTTTCTTCTGGATCCTCTGCCAGAGCAGTCCCAGCGAATTGTCCATTGCTAGGTCATTGCAACACCTGTTTCTTATAAGCATCAGTTCTCGATCTGGCATACCCGACTTGCGCATCTTGCACAATGACAAAGTTCGTGGTTCTAGCCGCACTGGCGCTGGCCGGTTTGGCCGCGTCTCAGTCGCCAACTCCGACTCCAACTCCCACCCCGACTCCCACCCCGACTCCCACGCCTACGCCTACGTCTACGCCGGTCCCGTCTCCCACTCACAAGACCGCACTCGGTGGTTACACTATGCTGTCTTGTTGGGCAGAAGGCAGTGTCCGAGCTTTATCTGGCGCCTTTGTAGCTGATGATGCCATGACCCTGGAAAAGTGCCTGGATTTCTGCAAGAACTACAACTACTGGGGCACGGAATACGGCCGCGAATGTAAATTATCCTCTCGCACTACCCCTCCCGTCCCAACTAACGTGCTTCAGGCTATTGCGGCAACTCTCTCGGCGCCGGCTCCGTTGCCGCGCCTCTCGACCAGTGCAACATGGTATGTGGCGGCAACCGGGCCGAGTTCTGCGGCGCTGGCAACCGCCTCGAGCTGTTCTCGACCACGGCCAGCATCACCACGCCGACCGGTACGCTCGTGCACAAGCCTACCATTGCACCCTACACTATGGTTGGGTGCTGGGCCGAGGGCGCCTCCAACCGCGCCCTCAACAGTGGCGGCACTTCATCCCCGAGCATGACCAACGAGAAGTGCGCCGACTTCTGCAAGGCTTACCGCTACTTTGGCACCGAGTACGGCAGCGAGTGCCACTGTGGCAGCTACCTTTCCGGTGACTCCAAGGCGGCGCCGATCGCCGAATGCAACATGGTCTGCTCCGGTGACCAGTTTGAGTACTGCGGTGCCAGCAACCGCCTCGAGCTGTACATGAACCCCAGCATTGCCGGCGGCGCCCCAGAGCAGCCCCCGGCCGCGGGCAACTTTGCACTTCTCGGCTGCCAGACCGAGGTAAGCGTTACACGTGCGCTATCTGGCGCATCCACGGCGGCAGACAACATGACGAACGAGGTGTGCGCGGCGTTTTGCAAGGACTACGAGTACTTTGGCACCGAGTACGGCAGAGAGTGCTACTGTGGCAACACACTGGCAGCGGCATCGACTGTTGCGCCCAAGGCCGAGTGCAATATGCTGTGTGGCGGCAACAATATTGAGTACTGCGGCAGCGCGAACCGCCTGTCCGTGTATAAGAAGAAGCCGCCCGTGACGCCGCCGCCACCACCACCACCGGCTCGGCGCCACCGCGCCCGGGAGCTGAGGGGCTGAAGTGTTTTTTTTTGTGTATATAGATGCTACGTAACGTGCGCATGGACTATCACATTTAAATGAATATTATTAGTTTTCTTTTTCGATCAAGCACGAAAAGTGTCAAGTTTTCGCGTTGTGTGCTAGCCGTTGGTTATAATCGGCGTTTGTCTGGGTTATTGAACAGCAGCTGCCGTCTCAAAGCGACTCCACGTCAAAACGCGTCGCGAGCAGCTTGCAACTCGCATCAACCGCATCATAAACGGCGAGTGCACGATAAACGCCGTGGAAAAAAATAGCCAGATATCATGGCCGATACAATAGAAGATGACAGAGACGTAAGTAAATACCACAGGGCCTCGCGAGCAGCGCAGGGCTCACACTACAAGCTACAACGAGCTGGCTAACCTCTGTGGACTATCCCAAGCGCCTCAAGTCAGCGCTCTGGTACGCCGTCGGGCAAATCGTCGACGAGGAGTGCCTGCGGCGCAACCGCAACGCGACACCGCAATTCATTGGCGCTTTAACCGAGCTCGTCTGGACTCAAATCGGTAATTTTCTTTTCCTCGCTTCGCTCGACGTTTTCCCCGGATTCGCGCCGCCCCAGACTTTTACAGCGAGAGGTGCAACTCGCATCTGGCCGGCCGCAGCCTTTTTTTTTTTTCCTTTTTTTCTATTGCTATCAGTTCAAAGAGAGATTGTATGTGTACTGACGAGTGGCTGGCTGGTCATTGCAGAAAACGTCGCCGTCGACCTCGAGTCGTTTGCCAACCACGCCGGCCGCAGCGTCGTCACCACAGAGGACGTGCTGCTGCTGGCGCGCAAGAACCCGGACTTGCAGCAGCTCATGCAGGAGTATATTGACGAGCAAAAGGCGGCGCGCGGACGCAGGCCGGCGGCGGCGTCGGCGTCGGGCGGGAGAGGAGGGAGAGGCGCGCGCGGAGGTCGCGGAGGGGCCAGGGGCGGTGCGACGAGGATATCGGAGCGGTGAGGGTCGTCGTGTCTCATGCCCTGTTACTATGATGAATGAATGATGTTATTTATTTCTTCTGGAAAAATAATCAAAACAAGTATAAAAATAACAATACGGGAACGCGGTCTCGGATGCATGCTGTGGCAACGGCGGATAGCTATCCGGCGGCGGTGATAAGAGTTCTGAGTCAGAGTGCCGCTGCGAGGCGTAGTACGTATGGTATCAACTCCCGCTGGCCTGTTATCTACATATCTTGTGTTTCTGTATTTATGTACTCATTTCGGAGAATTATCAAGACTTGTTGTTTTTTTCTTTGTCGGCCTGGAACACAAGTTGGTCCTGTCAACGCATCGTGGCGGTGACGGGGGTTCCGAGTGACCAATCTGGGACACCAGCAAGGCAGGCAGGCATGTTTATCTTGGTCGCACAGCCTTGATCCCAGAATAACCCAATGTTATCGCCTGTATTAGAAAAGGAGGTTGTAAGATATCAAAGATATGCGCCCGATGCAGCCCTGTCAAACTTGGCCTGGCCACCATGCACGGTCGGCTGCAACCGATAACACCCCCCCTCCCTTACCATCGATCCTGCTATCTAACCGCTTCAGCCGTGCTCTCTAGATAACAAACGGTATGTATGTACGTACTGTACGTACACAAACAACAAGGTTAGTTCTACGTCGTGGACCGATATTTTAAGATGACTTGCGCCGCCATCGACAGACACAAAAACATCCATCCTAGATTCTCGTTCGTTCGTTGGAAGAGAATATTTAGATCGGTTTTCTGTTCTAGAGGACATGTCTACGCGGTCGTCACTTTTATTAACTAAATAGAAGAAGAAAAAGTTCCAGAAGGAAAAAAATCATGCAGGCCATGTTTCAGGCCCGCGAAAGTCTCGTTGCGGTCTGATCCTCCATCAGACCAGGTCGTCTCTCTCTATCGGGGGTATCTCTATATCGTAATTCGTAAAACAAAGGGGTATCTTTCTTGTGCTCCAATCCTCCGTGTCGTGAAAAAAAGAAAAAGCTCTCTGAGGGATCCAGCCCCTGCAGATGAAAATGCTGAGTGAGTATAAAAAACATTGGTCCCAGAAATGCTCGTAGTGGTTAAACCGCGACATTTAACGGTCTTTGTCCGCATTAATACCTAAGATGAAAAAAGATGAAACAACAAGTCAAACGCCTGCCAGTGGTTTTTGTGTCTCGCAGACCACACAAAAAAGATGCAAAAAAAGGCAAGAAATAAGAAAAGCAACAAAGTCTTTCTCTAAAAAGTTCATTCAGTTCCGGGGGAAGAGTTTGCGATGCTGTCGAGCTCAGCATTAGGGGTTTGTCGTCGAGTGGTGCGTGATTACCTCGCGGCTCCGCATCTTGGTCGTCGTAGATGGTCTTTCGTTACTAGCCAAAGAAATAGAAGATGAAATCGTACTTCTGAAGAGATTATTTTGTCGACATTGTCGTCAAGGAAAAGGGTGGTCGGGCCCTTGAAGGATGGAATAACTGGCATGGGTCCCTTAGACCTGGATGGCGGAGTGAGGGCCGTACTCCTGGACGTAGCGGTCGAGGAGCTGCAGGGAGACACCGGAGCCGCCGCAGACGATGAGGACGACATTCTTCTCGGCCCACTCAGCGTCCGAGAGGCCCTTGCCGAGGGAGGCACGGAGGTCGCCGCGGTAGGCAGCCGCGAGGGCGGCGCCGCACGAGACCTCGACGAGGAGGCGTGCGTCGTCAGCGAAGCGGACGCAGGCCATGGCGGCGTCGGCGTCGGAAACGACCAAGCTGTGCGTGTTTGGGTAGTGCGCCCACTTCCAAGTCTGGGCGGAGACGCGGGAGCAGCCGAGGGAGACGGCGATGGAGGTGATTTCGGGGAGTGTGAGGTGCTCGTTGGCGACGAGGGAGGCGTGGAGGGAGTCGGCACCGGCCGTCTCGACGCCGACGACGTGCGGCTTGGGGCCGGCGGGCCAGGGAAAGGTCTCGATGCCCTGCATGAGGCCGTTGAAGAGGCCGCCGCCGCCGACGGAGCAGACAATGGCGTCCATGGGCACGTCCATCTGGTCGCGCAGCTCGGGGATCAGGCTGGCGGCGCCGTCCCAAATGTCCGGGTGGTCAAAGGGCGGGACGAAGACGCCGTCCGGGTCGCGCGCCACGAGCTCCTGGCGCACGTACTGCTCGGCGGCGAAGAGGTTCTTGCCCACCTGCTGCACGCGCGCGCCGAGCGCGCTGAGCTTCTTCTTCATAAACTCAGACGTCGTGACGGGCACGACGACGGTGCACGGCCGGTCGAGCGCCAGCGCCGACGTCGCGCACGCGAGCCCGGCGTTGCCGCCCGAGGCGCAGTAAAAGTGCACGTTGCCGGCGTGGTGCGCGACGGCGCGGGTCATGAGGTTGCCGATGCCGCGCGACTTGAAGGAGCCCGAGGGCTGGAGGTTGTCGAGCTTGAGGTAGATGTTGCTGCGCGGTGGTGTGTGAGCGGTTTGCGTTCTGTGTGTTGTGTGTGTGTGTAAGTGAAGGGACGGGAAGTGACTCACCAGCCAACGGCGCGGGAAACGGCCGTGTTGTAGACGCAGGGCGTCTTGACCCAAGGAAGGGTGCTCTCGCCACCGAGGGATCCCATGGTGATGCTGAGTGTGTATGTGTGTATGTGTGTATGAGTGAGGAATGTATGTGTGGGATACGGGCGTTGAGGGCGCGTATGAGTGTTGAAACTCGGTTGACGATGGTGGGAGAGAAGCAAGCCTAGAGGACCAGAATAGTCTTGGTGGAAGCTAAAAGACAGAAAAGGGGAATGGACAAAAGAAGGAGAGGAGGAGGGAGAATGAAACTGGGGCAATGGAGAATAAGTAGTCACAGTTCAGAATGTTGGGGGAGGCGGCCGTTGTGGTTGTGGTGGTCAGAGAGTCAGAGAGTTGGTGGTCCGGGTCAAGGAGGTCAAGGAAGGAAAAATAGAAAAATAGAAAAATAGGTAGCGAGGGCGGGAGGTGTGCCGTTACGAAACGTGGAATTCAAAGTACTTTTTATAGGGTGACACTCTGGGAAAGGTACTTGGCGGCATACGGCGAAGAGGATCCGTGGGAAGCCGGCCGGGGGGGGCGTGTGGCTACCGACTCTTCCGGATTGTCATGGTGGTGGCCATTAAAGTGGCTATACGGGTGGAGAATGAAACAAGGACGGGATGTGAGGAAATAGAGTTGAGTATTACGATGGCCATTATCAGTACGTATTTTGTTTGGTCCGGATCACTGCAGGTGTTGTTGATTGGAGCGGGTTGGTGCGTGTGTGTGTGTGTCACGGCGCAGTGTTATCAGCGTACATTGCGGTCAGCATCTCGCATCTTTTGCTGGTAACAGTGTCAAGCGAGATAGCAGGTCCTGTTTCAAATCCAATTCAATTCAATTCGAATTTACCTTGTGCCGTCGGTTCGATAATATCCCAGGGCGTCGTGAGTTGCACTCGGGACTTGATGGCTTCTAGCGCGAGTAGAGAGAGCTTTTTCCTCGCTTCTCATACACGTCAGAAAAGCCCGTCCTTCCCAGCTTACTTTCAGCCGCTAGGGAAAAAAATGCACACCTGATTCCTTCTTGGTTGTTTCTTCTCTGCCTGTTCTTTGGCGGCCCGGCTAACCAGGCCAGCGCGGACCGAGTCTAGTCCTGATTAGGCAGTACATGTCAGCGCCCGCCGAAAACACCAAAATAGAGAAATCAGTGATGGCTTTGAGTTGATTTGAGAACCAAGACACACACACCACCCAGTCAAGTCACAAGGGGAAAACAACACCAGCCATCCACGCCGCACATCGGAGCGCGGCGCCCGGTGCCTGCTTCGCTCCCATGCCGGAAAACTATAACGACAAGAAGAGTACAGGCCTGCGCGTTGGCTTGACCACCGGCACGTTTGCGTTTGCCTGTCTGGACTGCGTACCGATCAGGTGACCGGCCAACAATGCTCATTCGCTTCCTACCGACACTTTAATTCCTGACACCCGCCCCCCTGATCAACTTACTACCGGATAGGAATCGTTGACCCCGTGCTGTTCATCCGCAGGGGGCGGTAAGACGAGTTTGTTGCACATTCCACCACCAGACACCGACAAACGGAACCAGACGAGGCGTGGTCTGTGTGATCTTGTGATGCCGGGAAAACGGAGAGTCTAGGAAGCTATCCTGCATTCTCACAAGCCATCTCACAAGCCAATTGCAGAATAATAGCTCGTCGAGTATTACTACGGCAACCTCTATTCTATTTACACGTGCGAACTGTTGATGCGTGCCGAGTCGTTCTCGTCGAACCTGTGATGCCTATCGATGTCCGCCCGCCCGTCCGCCGTCTCCTCCGCGTCCACGACTTCCCCCACCTGCCCCAGACGCTGCACCGGATTAGTCCAGATTGAAAAAGCAACGCAGCCAGATCTCGAATCACAAAAAAAAAAAACAAAAAAAAAGAGAACTTCCTCCCTGGTTCCGCTTGCTAGACCCGGCGCAAGTGGAGTACACGCCCGTTGGCCCCGTCGATTTTGGTTACGTATTACGTTGTTATAGGGTAACAGCTTTGACAAGTCTGATCCACACGACTCTTGGTCTCTTGTTTTACTTTGCGCTGACAAGACACCTGTTTGGTTAACTTTGTAAGTCGCGGTACGTATCGGGTGCTGTACAACACGCAATCTGGAGCCATGTGCCATCACGGGCGCTGGCGGACCAGTGCCTGCATACATGTCGCCGGGCTGCTGCTCCTGGTTGGCTATGTACGGGCGAGCATGATAAGAGCCCGTTTAGTGTCGACATGGCGAATCTGGCTTGCATCATGGCCGGCCGAGCATTGCGCCTCATCGGCCAGCTGCGACGCCATACATACATTCCCATCTGTCGCCTCTCAGCTCGGGGCTCTGATCCGCCCTCGTCAATTGAGTTGATTGCTTCTAGCGAGCAGCAATCAGCTACAGTCTTGGCTGGTGCCATCTTTGTCTGAGCTCGGGGATCTCTGTCAACACACCCTGTCCCTGTCCTCGCGGCCTCGACCGTCCATTGCCTGTATTTGCTGGTCATGTTCCTCGAAGCCGGTCTACCTGCAGCGGAAATCGGAGCATAGGCGACTCAACAGTCTCACACTGGAAACCGCCCGTCCTTTGTCCATGCTGGCATCGTGGAGTTTGTGACCGGCCACGATTCGATTGCTAACAACTTGTTCCATCTCACGTGCGCGCAGCCAAAAACAGTCCCCCTCTCTGCATAATTCCCATTACCATTCCATATTCAAGGACCCCGCCGCCCATCTACGAAACCCAAGAAAACAGCCTCCGCAGAGCGGGTGTCGGCGGGGACTCGCACCACGCAAGACACGAACCGGCCCCATCCGGAGTTGGACAGGGCGGCGCTGGGTGTGGATTTCATCCGCAACTCGTTACCAAAAAATGTGTGCTAAAAAGAATTGGCGTAGAAGGAGGGCGGCGGAGATATTAGTAGTAGGAGCAAAAGGCTCCAAGGTTTGAGGAAAGATGCCGATTTTTGTCCGAGTCCAGCACACCCGCCCAACGCCGTGCCTACTCCGTAACACGGACACTGTATGACGCCCGCCCGTGTTTTTCCCCCATCTCACATGGCATGCACGCACACACTCGTGCCCCGGCAGTCGCGTAATATTTCATGTGTCAAGGCCTAAGATATTTGCCGAACCTCTACGGATAATTGTCGAATTTTTAGGTGGCTAGTGACTGTTAGGGTGGCTAGTGTAGTGCCTAGACGCCGAGGCCGGCTTTTCCATACTAATTTGTATGGCGGGCGAGGAAATACTATCTGGCCTTCCGTGCAGGCACCGAATCGCCTATTAGAAAGCCGCCAGGAACCCCTTATAATTAATGATTTTAAAGGGTAATAAGGGTAATAAGGGTAATAAGGGTAATAAGGGTAATAAGGGCAATAAGGGCAATAAGGGCAATAAAGGTAATAAGGGCAATAAGGGTAATAAAAGTAATAAGGGCAATAAGGGCTATAATAATTAGGATATATAGAGTATAATTGATAAGGCTATAATAAGGCTAAAGAAGGAATCTATATAATTTTTATATTTTCCTAGAATTAAATATAGCTATTATAAAATTGTGGTATTAGGTATAGTGTGAGTTGCGGTATCGGCGTTAAGCCATAGTAACCCACGTTTTTATTTAATAATTATCCGTGGAGGTTCGGCAGATATCTTAGGCCCATGTGTTATTATGACCTGCTATCAAGGTTTTCTGGTTTCATCTTGCAGATCGCACGTCTGTTACAAAGATGCGCCACGCGCAAAATCTGGAACGGCCGCCAATTGGTAGACCGCGCTCTGGCGGTAGCGATGCAGTAGATTGGCTACGGAGGGTGTATTCTGACGCGAATCAGAACAATAAAAACGCAACAAGGGAGAAAAGGGAAGAAGGTTCAAAAGGGATTAGAAGGATAAAGAGCAGCAAGGCGAAGTAGGAAAAATAGAAGCAAGAGGACGAGAAGAGCAGGCAGATCCAAGCGTAACAATAGATAAAGAAGAAAAAGAAACAAGGAACCAGATATATATATAAGTTAAACACCCGATACTTCGGCCTAGGTAGAAAATAGACATCCATTACATCCATAGAAACCTCTGTCGCGGCTCTGGCGCGCTGCCGGCTGGCCTCGCCGGATTCACCGCGGCTACCAGGTGTTGCGTCAAAACCGCCAGCTGGCCGCCGGTTTGCATAATGCAAGTGAAAACAAAGAGTGAACAAAAGGCGAAGAGAGAGAGAAATGCATTTCGAAATCGCCGCAGTGTTGCTCACTATAAATTAATTTACACCACCAACACTCAACTCCCAATTCACATCCTCCTCCTACACACGCACATCCTCCTCCTACCCACGCACATCCCCCCCCCTCCCCCCTCCCTGGCTTCTCTCCCTTTTTCCAACAACACACCGATTAATTCCTTTCCTCACCGCCAGCTCCCTCATCTCCCCCATGGCATCAACAATGCCCAGACGCCACCGGTTCCAGCTCGCTGGCCGCTCCAGAACAACCCGTCCCCTCACAGCGCTGCTCAATGAGGCCTATCTCGAGCGCAGGCGGCACCCCGGGGGCCTGCACCGGGGATACGACCCTCAGCTTGACGACCTACTTCGACAGCTGCGCGAGGGCTCCGGCGCCTCCGACTTTGACCGCACCGAGTGGCGCGTCGTCGAGGAAAAGGTCGACCTCACCTTTGTCTACCCCAACCATGACATTGAGCTGCCGACCGAGGCTGAGCGTGCCCGCCTGCCGCCCGCCGTCCGCCGCAACTTGCGCAACTACAAGCAGACCCCGCCAGATGTCCTGCTGAGCCGCGCCCCGGCCGTGGCGCCGCGACCCTCGCTACCGAACCCCTACGACGACGAGCCCGAGTGGGGGTTCCGAGACAAGTACATGTACCGCCCCAAGCTGTCGCCGGGCGAAGAAGCGGAGAAAAGAGCGCGCGGGAAGCGCAAGAGGAGTGACAAGCGAGACTCGGACGCTCGTCGTACGCCAAAGCGACCCCGAGCTGCGCCGGAGCAACCGGCGACAGAAGAACACGGCGCAGTCCCCGACACCTCCGACTCACCGCTTACGCCCCCCCATACCCCGTCGTGCGACACGCCTATTCCGTCCATTGAAGAGGATAACCCCGAAGATGTTGCGCAAACCGAGCTCAGTCTTCTCCATCTTGCGCAGTGTACCGCTGCGCAGTCTGTCTCCCCGCCCGGGTCCCCAGCAGCACCCCTGACACCCACCCGCGCCGCCACCCCTCCCGGCCCGGGGCCGCCGACATTCGCCGCCAACGGCTTCCTCGCGCTGCCGCAGACTGTGCGTCTGCAAGTCTACCGTGCGCTTCTCCTCCGGCCGGAGCCTATTCGCGTGCACGCCAGCTAGGAGCTGGTGTACCGCAACCAGAACCTAGGCCTACACACTGCCATACTCGTGTGCAGCAAGACCATGTTTGCCGAGGCCGCCGGCGTGCTGTACGGCGAGAACGAGTTCCTGTACCTCCTCCGGGACAGCACCAACCACGTCACCGACATCGTCGCCGTCGGCCAGGACGACAGCCCCGACTACGCGAGCGACGCCGAGGAGCAGCCCGCGGG